AAGTGCTCAGTAAATGCAGGCAGGGAATATTAGATTCCAGGCTGAGTTTTACAGCTATATGAAGAGCTTTTGAAATATAATGAAATAAAATCAATAACTTTCCAGAATCTGTTTACAGTGCCTTGCAAGTTTATGTATCTGGCCAGAATGTCTATACTGTTGTGAAAATAAATAAGTCAATAAATTCCTTTCCCTGCAAATGTTTTGCCAATGAGCAAAGTGAAAAGGTCTCCACTAACTGATATATTCATACAGAGCTCAGAGGTGGTTCATGAAGAAAAAGCAGACAGGAGAACATTCCAATATTTACTTTAACATCACTGGGATTATTTGAAAACATATGGCACTGAAATCAGACAAGAGTAAAAATACAACAGGTAAAATCCCCTAAAGTGTTAGGGAAAAGTTTGTGGGGAGCACAGAGCATTTTGGCTATGAAATCTTTCTTCAAGGGCAACTATAACAAACCTCCGAAAATGTCATTTTTTGAAAAATGCAGTGCAATTCTGCATATCTATGCAAAAGTCAGTCCTATTGAGTCCAGAACATACTCCCAGAGAAGTGTGTATATGACTGCAGCCTCACAGCTCAAACCTGTTCATGTCTATTCAGGTGCAAATCCCTCTAAGTTCAATGGAGCTAACTTTCATATAATTGGTATAGGGTTGCAGCCTAAATATCTAAATCTACTTTAATATGAAATCTGCACATTATATGAAACCATTATCTGTTATCTGTAATATTTCATAAAAATATCACTTAAAATTGCAAACATAATTAAAGTTAAGAAAGTTAAAACTACAGTAAACGAAAGCCAATTAAAACACATACAAACTTTTGAAACACCTGTTTAGGCTTGTCTGAATAAGAATATCTTCAGCAGGCGCCAAAAAGAATACAGTGACAAATATTAAAGTATTATCTATTTTTCAGGATATTTTCCTTAGTACAGTAGTTGCAAAATCAATTAAAGTTAACAAATTTAACAGTATTTAGTAGTAACCATAGTGACTGTTTAGCATGAAAACATGAGACAGTAAACAGTGTTTTGTTGTGTGTCTGGTTTACTTATTCTTATTAAACTTTATGATGTTTAACCTTTATTTAGGAGCAGTATATTAGTTACAGTGGTACCTCGGGTTACATACGCTTCAGGTTACAGACGCTTCAGGTTACAGACTCCACTAACCGAGAAATAGTACCTCGGGTTAAGAACTTTGATTCAGGATGAGAACAGAAATCATGCTCCGGTGGCACGGTGGCAGCAGGAGGCCCCATTAGCTAAAGTGGTGCTTCAGGTTAAGAACAGTTTCAGGTTAAGAACGGACCTCTGGAACATATTAAGCACTTAACCCGAGGTACCACAGTATTAAGAATACACACTTTCAAAGGGAGTAAGGCTCACTGAACACAAAGGAAGTCTTACTCCTGAATAATGATGCTTAAGATTGTGCTGCACATCTGTAATATTGGGTTACATTGACATATATTAAAGTATATCTTAATGGCATACAGTTTTAAATGTTTGTAATTACTCTATTTGTTTTATAGTTGCCTCTGAAAAAACTCACTTGGTTTACCACAATAACCTGTTTTCCTAGCATACTTAAGGTTCATCGGTGTTGCATGGCGTGATATGCTAGTAATCTGCCTATGTCTCATTTCACGTTGGTTGCCAAACACAAGTGGGCATTAACATTTATTTGTCTCAATCCCGAAGACATCTGTAGATGTGCTCTAACAGTGCAATCCCATTTATGTCTGCTCAGATGCAAGACACATTGAATGTAATGGGTGTTTCCCCGAGGTAACTGTAAATTTGATTACAGGCTTAGAATCCCATCCCCTCACCCACAAGATATGAGACTGGACATCAAGAGATGGAATAGTCTGTGTATTTCATCTTCCTGTGATGGCTGGTCCAAATCAGATCAATTTTGGATGCTGTGTATACTGTTCTATAATCCCATGGTTTGGCCTTCATTTTAATATCCCCATATCCTCCTATATTTCTCCGCTGAAAATAGGGACGTTCTATTCAATAATAACATTAGTAATAATAGTTGTTGTGATTTTATTTATACCCCACTCATCTGACTGGGTTGCCCCAGCCACTCTGGGCAGCTTCCAACATATATAGAAACATAATAAACATTAAACATTTAAAAATTCCCCATACAGGGCTGCCTTCAGATGTTTTCTAAAGATTGTATAGTTACTTACATCCTTGGCGATTACGTTGCATAACTCCATACCCTCCAACATTTCACCAATGAAAATAGGGATGTCCTAAGGAAAAGTGGGTCAGTCTGGATCAAATCAGAAACCGAGACAGCTTCTGTAAATCTGGGACTGTGCCTGGAAAATAGGGATACTTGGAGGGTCTGCATCTGTCATCCCCTGAAAGGTAAAGGGAAGTCTTCTAATTAGAGCATATCAAATATTTGAAACAAATATTTAGATGCAAGGTCATTGACAATAAGAATATTAATAGCATATCCTCCCCTCCCAGTAGACTATTTGCAGTCTATTGCCTATTCAGTTTTAAAAACGATGATACAACTGGGTTGGGTTTAAAATGAAAATATTCAGTTAAAGCTTAAAAACTTAATATGGAAAAGTATTACATTCATTTAAAATTCCATTTTAAGCAAAGAATTGAATTACTTTCCAGCGGGCTACATCCTTACAATTTCTTACTTGAATAGAGGAGGTAATATTTGCAATATAAATTCAGCTGCAGTTTCTGAGGGCACTATTATATTTATTCAAAATCATATATGCATAAGTTGAAAAAAATTAATTAGAAGTGCCTTTTTCTTTTTTCTTTGCTGAGGCGAGGTTGTGGGGTTATGATAGAACTCCCAAGGCCTTAAAGATGGCCTTGCTTTGCAGTGAAAGCTCAAAATATAGCTTGTGGAACTGAATGTTTTCAGCTGGATGAGCCAACCATGACACTTCTTCCCTTAGGTTGAAAGCTCACAACACTGGCATGAATACAAAAACTATTGTTGTGGTTGTGCTGCTCTGTACTCCGATCAGCTCCTCTTCCTATGGATCAATACTGCAACAATTTTACATAGCTTTCCCACCACCTCATATTAGATAATGGTCATTGAAAGGTACATTTGCCCACTGAATATACAGCACAGGAGCCAACTCTTAGGCACTGAGGTCCCTTTGCCACCCCCCCCCCCAATAAAATATTTGAGGGAACTGGGGGGGGGGCAAGTTGGTGGGAATTGCCATTCAAATGTTTTGTGTGTGTCACATCTTGTGATCGATTTTGCAAGCCAGGGCTTACCTGCCCCCCGTGGGGAATTATGTTAGAATGTTGCTTATTGATTATAGCTCGGCTTTTAATACCATCCTTCCAGACATTCTTATCAAAAAGTTGAAGGAACTAGACTTTTCTTCTACCATCTGTGACTGGATTAAAGACTTTCTGAGGGATCGGACACAAACAGTGAGGATTGGGCCTGTTACATCTCCCTCCCTGAAGCTCAGCACAGGGATGTGTGCTGAGTCCCTACCTGTACTCTTTGTGTATATATGACTGTATTTCATCTGATCCATCTGCTGCAGTTATTAAGTTTGTAGATGATACTACCATAATGGGTCTAATTACAGGTGAGATGAATCAGCATACAGGGGAGAGGTTCAAAACATATCTACATGGTGCCTAGAGAATAACTTGCACCTAAATATTAGCAAGACAAAGGAGATGGTGTTGGACTTTTGGAAGAAGAGAGGGGAGCTAGCCCCGTTGTATATCGGGGGGGGGGTGTGGAGAGAGTCTCTTCCTTTAAATTCCTGGGAGTTTACCTTAGTGAAGACCTCACTTGGAAAAACAATAGAACTCAGGTGGTTAGGAAGGCCCAACAGAGACTCCATTTCCTCAGGGTCTTGCGAAAGAACAATGTTAAACAACAATTGATGACCTCCTTCTACTGGTTCACAATAGAAAGTGTGCTCTCATATTGTATCATGGTGATTTTTAAAGAAAAAAAGCACTGGGCAGTATATAAGTCAACAAATGGATGGTAATAAACATAAACGCTTCTGAATAGTGACTGCACAAGAGGGGTTTGTGAACATTCTGTACATTAAAACCGCAAGGCCAGAATGTCCAAACAGTTACAAACAGCAAGCGACGTTGAAGAAAATATTTCCTAGGGTAATGATCAAATGTGAAAAGCAGAATCATGAATTAAATATTTTGCAGCAAACAAAGGTCAGCTCTATTGCCAGATGAGTTATTGCTCCATTCAGTCATGTAGGTAACTTCAAATTTTACCATCCCATGTGCCTTTACAAACCCTGTGACATATTTAATGTTATCCTCTCCCTTGTTATTCTTTCCCTTGCAACCAGTTGTCCTCCACAGATGCATTGACGCTTCTCTGGAAGCCCACTGAGGCATGATCAGTTGTCAAATGCATAACTAGGCTTTTATGCATCAGAGCATTTCCCAGGACTGGCCAGGCTGTTGCGATTTGACTTTAGTTTGATTCTGCGGTCACTGGCTCACAGCCAATCCTTTGCAAAGTGGTCTACACAAATAGAATATGTCACCACGCACACTTGCATATATCCATGTGGTCCACTCACAAAGTTGTGGAAGCGTTTTTATTTATAGACAAACCTTGAGGAAGTAGGCCAAGAACCAAGTCTTGGGGAAGAAAAAAGAGTATTCTGGTTTGAAGGTGACAGCCGTAAGTATGCATTGTTCTTGCTGAGGTCAGGAGGTTCATTACAGCTCACGTGAAACTCAGAAACCCTTGGTCAAGTTGCTTCTGGCTCTCCAAACAGATTCTGCTCTTTTGTAAACTTTGCTAACAAACATTGCTTCAACAATAGTTCTTAAAATAAAAAGGAGTCTGCTACTAAATGAAAAAGTGAAGTCATAAATGTCTTCATCCTAAAGTGAAGGTGAAAGGCTGATAATTTCAAGGTCTAGGCTTAGGTGAAGTTTTCTCAAGAATGAAATCTGGATTCCTATAGGTTCCTCTACAACTTTTCCTGTAATTTTCTATGTAGATTTTTATGCCTTGAATATGACTGATAAGAACAGATACTACATTTGAACTTAGCCCAAAGGCCAAGAAGTGACACTATTTACTATATTGCTCACTATACGTTGGACCCAGGAGGCAATTTCTCACCTTACCATCTGTACAGAAAGATGTCTCTCCCCAGCAGAGAAGGTCCTATGGCTTCTGAGCAATGTAAACATTTCAGTGGCTCATAAAGTCACCCTTTTTGCTTTGGCAGCCAAAAAGATCAGAAAGAAGACCCTGGACAATATAGCCAGGGAACAAAAGGATCTAAATAAAGACCATTATTTGTGGTGCGATACCCCTTATGCTTGGATTTATTTTTGATTCAGATTTGTCATGGCCAATGGGTAGTGCAATAAAGATATTTGGAGTATTTAATATGACCGAAATACTGAGCTAAGAAGGGAGGTGAAGAGAGTCAACAAATTCACCTTGTCTGAACAACAGCAGGTACACAAGGAGTCTCATTTCTGCCCTTTGCCACTGAAAATAGTTTCTGTCCGTGGGCTGTTAGGCTGCTGAATGGAAAATAATATAGTGCAACTGAAGTTCAGGGTTGGTGTGCAACAAGCACACAGAGTGCAATGAGATTGAGTGTTTACGGTGGTGGGGAGGCTCAGTTAATTTCAGGTTGTACATTGACCATTAATTTCAGGTTGTACATTGACAATAAAGGTATTGTTATTATTATTAAATATTCCACCCCACTCCATAAACTTAAGAGCCAAGTCACATCACGTTCTGTGCACCTTCCACTGGATCATTTTCTAGCAAAGTGGTTGTTTCCTTGATCCCGTTGCTCACTTACATGTGCCTTGACTGAGCTCACCCTGAAAGGGTCAAGGCTTTGTGTGCATTTCAAGAAAACATGTGGAAAGTCCAGGAAGATACTGGTGAAGCACCTGTTGTCTGACCACAAACTCCTTTTCCCCATGCCCAAGGATCTCCAGAAATACCCTAGGGCAAGGGGAGGAAACGGCTTCAGGATGCTCCTAGTCCCCAATGGAACATCTTTCACACCAGGACTGACCTGGGACTACAGGTCCCAGAATCCTCAGTGGGGAAACACTGTTCTATGATCCATTCCTGCAGAGGGAGAAGGCCCTTTCCCTTAAGTGCAATGGAAGGGTTTGGGAGTCCTCTGCAAACAATTGGTTCAGACATCTGGTGAGAATAATCTATATTTCCCTGCATTCCAGAGATGAAGTGTAAGAAAACAGGATTGTATGGGGAAAGGGGTGCTCCCATTCACTTTGGCTTTGCTCTCCCCCCTCCTTTAACAGGGAATATGGCTCTCAGCAAGGAAGAAAAGGTTCCTTGCTTCCATGTTAGAATTTACTGATATAATAAGTGATACTTGGCTATGTGTGATAAAAATTAACGTAGGAAGCTCACATTTTTGTTTTCAGTATCTATTTTAATGTCTGCAGCTTCACAAAATCCAGTGTTGACACATCTTTGTCAGATCACCTAAGGAATTACTTACTTTCTGAGGATTACAAAATGCCAAATCAATTGCTACATTTACCAGATTAACTATGTAGAAATTAACGGTACAGTTGGAAACACGCTAGAAAAAAAATATTTATTCACCATCTGCTAATGCTTTCTAAATAAATCTCTGCTTACGTACCCTGAACGGAATACAAATTGGCCAGTGGAGGACTAGATTACAAGCTTTGAAAAAGAGAAAATTCTTATTTTCTGTAGGGGTGTTGGAAATAGTTTATGTACACTGCTTAGAAATTCCGAATAGTAAGCAGTAAGTAAGTAAATAAATAAATAAATAAATAACTGAAATTCTGGCCAAGGAAAAGTTACTTGTGGTAAAATGCATGAACTGCCACCAGAGCATCTGGTTCCTCTTTCCATCAGGGAGATGTGTGAGCTCCCTTTTCACATGCCACATAGCAACTTAGGAGGCCAACATACCAGGTCAGACCAGTGGTCCATCATGCTCAATACACCGACTGGCAGCAGCACTCCAAAGTTTCAGACAAGGGTCTTTCCCAGCCTTATTTGGGGCAACATATGTCCTCTATCATTGAGCTACAGTCTGCTTTGTGAAAAGAAGCATGAAAAGAGGTTGCTGCTGTTTAACTGTAACATGCAAAACTACCCTGTATTTCTATCACATAAAATGCAGGGGACGTCTAGGGGGCTATGAAGAGTCCTCCAGTTTTTTTTAAAAAAATAACAATGACTATTCTCTCTTCAGAAAGGCAAAGGCGCTCTAAAAGGTTCTTGGCTATATGAGTGCTCAAGGCCAGGCTGGATTTCAGCTTCTCTCTCTCATTACTCAAAACATTATCAAAACAATAAGCCTTGTTATGTTACAAAAACAAGAATGTTACAAAAATAATAATTGCAGATAACTCAATCGAGCAGAATCCACTTCATAGGTACTTCTTTTCCGCCACTGGATTTGTACTCAACAAAGGCACTGCATTCATGGAACAGCTTCCACTTCCACAATAGAAGTTCTTCTCTTTTCCTCCCCTGTGCACCCCCAAACCTGCTCCGATGGTCCGCCACTAACCCTCCAGAACAGATTGCGGCATGAGGGGGAGGAGAGAGAGGAAAAGTTCCATTGCATGAGCGGAAGTTTATTCCACAAGTGCAATGACTTTGTTAGATTCAACCCACTGATTCCTTCTCACTAGCTGTATTACAATGCCAATACGTTTCCTTGCCATAATAATTACCCCTCAAAAGGCATTTTGCAAAGGAGGGCTGTTTCTGAGGAGCTGGTAAAAGGCGTGAGAATTGTGAGTGTCGCATAAATTTAGCAACCTTCATTTAGAATCAAGGCACAACAATAAATATAACTCTGGTATCCACGCTATGGGAGTTAAAAATATTTCAGTGTGGTTCTTATTTCTGCTGGAAAGCTATGCTATTGCAAGTAATCTACAGTGCTAAGTCAAGCTGCAATATTTATAAAGCTACTAAATGGGCCCAGTGGCATGAACAAGGTAGGAATGGTTCCGGTCATTTAAAAATAAGAGAATGTGGAACAGCATAGATACAGTTTAGAATATGTCAGTGGCCAGATTGTTAATCCAAAGGTACACAGAGCATTCAATTTTAGCTTCCTCTTTTCTTTCCTAAAATAAAAATTGTACTTCCACAACCTTTCACAGATTTTGTATATTTTTCTCCCTTAACAAGTAGCTTAAAATGTTACTTCCTAAAACTTGTTCTTTGCTGATTGCCAAATCTATGGCCAAGAGGTTTACTGTGCATCACTCATCATTTGGAACTAAATAGCTTTACTTTTTCTTGTCCTATTGGAATTCTTTTTATATTTAATTTAGACACCAAAATCTATCAAACCTGTTCTTTTTTTAGCTAAATTATATGAGTAAGGATATAATTAACTGATGTAATTGTCCCTAAGTCTCCTTACTTTTCATTACATTAAAACTTCTTAAAGGTTTATGTCTTCCATAGGAAAGAAATCTTGACAAATTCATCTTAGCGTTTTGATCAATTAATCGGTTAATCAGTTATTTGATTAAATGTGCATAGACAATGGGTAGCAGCAGAGACAGCAGGAAGAGACAATTTGCATATCGCCTCCCTCTGCTGGTTGAGTCTTGACTTTTTTCTCAGTTGAGTGTCCTCAGCTACAAGGACACTGTGTTCCCTAGCAGTCATATTTATTTATCATTTATAGATGATGTACCCATATGTCTCAGGAGCCACTATCTTAGTAGAAGCACATTTGAGAGCCATCTCATCTGAGATGCTACTTGCTATCTGTATTTTTTAATAACTACTTGTGTTTAAAACCATTTTCAAGATGCAGAATCTGCTGTCTGATTAATCAGGAATGAACCTTTTGTATGTTTTGAACTGGTTAATCCAGGTTTTGCTAATGTGGTGCCCATGGCTTTTATTCAGCTGGAACTCCATGAAACTCAGTTCCGGCACCTCTCAGGTAGATGCCGTTGCCATTATAAGAGAACAAAGGAGGCGTTCATGGTGAATTCCAGCACCTCTTTTTCTAGAAAGCCATTTTTATATTGAATACGCCTTCTTAAATTTGCCCACATGGGATGCCAGGCTTGGATGCCCACTCTGCCATATATTCTGAAAAGAGAGAAGAGGTGTAACAAGCTTCTCTCTGAATGAGGGTAGAAGTGGCTTATACTGTGAAGAAGAGCATTCAACAAATGGACTTCCACTTTTGTGATCTCTGCATAGAACTAATAGTCTTTAACTCATCAGTTCTGGTCATTCAATTCTTCTTCTTTCTTCCTCCTCCTCATCATCATGTATTCCAAATAACACATTTTTTCTATATTTCCATTTTGAAGAAAGTCCCTGTAGTTATGAGTGTGCATGTAATTATTTGGTGCTTACATCACTACATTTGTGTTCAGAGTGCAATGTCCAGAAATATTTCATGTCCAGAACTGCATTTCATAAGCATTTTTCACTGGTTGTCAACGCATGGGAATTATGGTGCCAACTCCTTACAGCTAACTCATCTGAAAGCAAATATCAAACAGACCTTGCCCAGCCCTTGTGAATATGTGCTTTGTAAGTTGGCTTGGGTTTCTGTTGCTGAAGCTGAAAGTACAGGTAAGCAAAAGAAAGCAGGATAAAGGTTAGAAAAATGACACTAGGACTTCAGAAATGAGGTTGCCAGAAAATTAGCACTGTTTGCCTGTCTGAAGGCAAGAAATTACACAAATGTTAGATGCATAATAAATATCCCTCATGCTGGATGCTATGCCAAATATAGTGAAATTCTTTCTTTCTTTCTTTTTTCTTTTTTGAGAATGCCAAAAGTAAAAATTCAGTTTTGGGATCAGGTAATAAAATACCTTCTATCAGTGAGCATTAACTTATTTACTTGACTAAGACCTTCAAGTGAAGTCTGTTTATAGCTAGGGAGTGGCAAGGATTGTACATAGCTGCATCTACACGAACAGTGGGTGGTATGGTGGGGAAGGGGGGGGGAGAGAGAGAGAGTGCAGGAGGGGAGGGAGGAGGAGGTGGAGGAGGAAGGGATGAGAAAGGAGAAATGAAGAAAATGTTTAAA